ATGTAAAAAATAAGTAGCACAGCACTCGGCCTCCAGGAGCTTCCGTAAACGTCAGCAGTGTACCGATGAGGACACCAGGGCTGTGGCACCGAGACTCCACTCCTTTCTAACCGCACGGGGCCCTGACCTGGACGCCCCCCTGGGCTGCAGCTCCACTGCCAGTCTTCTTCTGGGGAAGGGTGGACTCTGACCTTGACCTGCCCCACACCCTGGGCAACCTGCTGCCTCCCTGTCTGACTTCTCAAGACCCTCCACCCTGTGGGCCGCAATCCAGGGCAACCTTGGCCATTCTGCCAAACTTACAGCAGCCCAGGGCTGTCCCTGAAGCCAATGAACTGGAACTCCCCGTCATCATATCTGTGTTTTATTTCAAGGATAACAGTAGTAAATGGGAAAATACCTAAATAAAGGAAGCTGGGTGGCGGGGCTGTGGCCCCGGACAAGGGAAGCGTCTGTCCCTCCTGCGGGGGTCACAGCCTCCGGCAAGGTCCCGTCCAGGTGAGGGCAGGGTGGGCTCTTCCTGTCAGGTCAGCGATGGACCCCTGGGAAGGCTGCGAGCGCCCCCTGCCGGAGCTTCCAACCCCGGTACTGATGTGCAGTCTCGTTCGTTCAAGAACATAGTGGGGATTCTGTCGTGATACAAAGGGGATAAATTGTGGTGGGAAGAGTGGACAATTTTGCCAATTCGGGATGGAGTTTGGGTCAGCGAACATCCCTCTTCTCATAGGCCTTGGGACCCCTTAGGTCCCCCCTACTGGCAACCACACAGGGGTTGGCCAAATGGACCCAAAGAGCTCAGGTGAATGACATGCCTCTATCCTTCGCTCTCAGGCCAAGCTCCGTGGCGAGGGGGGTCAGGGGCTGTCCTTCACCCCCTGGCCCCGACTCTCCACTCCAGATCCTGACACACACACACACCCGGGGCCTCTTTTTTATACAGAGCCTGTTTGTATAAACACCCAGGGTGCTGGATTTAGGAAGTGGGCTTTGAGATGTAATTGGGTCATGAGGGTGGAGCCCTCCCGGAGGGGAGCAGGGCCCTTGTGAAAGAGGTGCCATGTCTCACCCTTGCATCCCGTGGGGACACAGCGAGCCATGTGCAACTCTCCCCAACACGGAATCTGCAGTTCCAGCCTCCTGAACTGTGAGAAGTAAATCTCTGCGGTTTGGCCACCAGCACCAGTATTTATTGTAGCTGCCCATATGGGCCAAGACACCATCCAATCAGCAGCCCACCTCCTCCTCAAAAGGCAGTATGGTTTCCCAATAGTAAAGCATGTCTGTGTTATATCACCTTCCAGGCCCTTGGCAAGCTGCAGCCCCTAACATTAGCACATCTATTCTTGTCAGAAACGAAATCCTGTGGGTCTGATAGATCTTTGCAGATCAGGGAAGGCTGGCCACAGAGCCCATTAGCAGAGTCCAGAGCTGAGCCCAGGTCAGAGCTGCACAGTAGGGTGGCAGGGTGAATGGTGGTGCCCCAACTCATGTCCACCTGGAACCTCAGAATGTGACCTTATAATGGAATAAGGGTCTTTGCAGATGTCATCAAGATAGGAAATTTCAAGGGGCGCCCGGGTGGCTCAGTGGGTTAAGCGTCTGCCTTTCGCTCAGGTCCTGATCTCAGGGTCCTGGGATCAAGTCCCGCATTGGGCTCCCTGCCCTGCGCAGTCTGCTTCTCCCTCTGCCTCTGCTGCTCCCCCTGCTCATGGTCTCTTGCTCATTCTCTCCTTCTCTCTCTCAAATAAACAAATAAAATCTTAAAAAAAATAAAAAGATAAGAAATTTCAAGATGAGGTCATCCTGGATTAGGGTGGCCCTTAAACCCAATGAATGGGGCCTTCGTAAGAAAAGAGGAAGGGACAGGGCGAGGCAGCCACCAGCCTAGGCCTGCCAGGAGCCCCCCTGGAAGCTGGAAGAAGCAGGAAGAGTCCTCCCTGGAGCCTCCAGAGGAACCATGGCCTTGCTCACCCGTTGATCTTAGAACTCTGGCCTCCAGAACCGGGAGAGAATAAATTCCTGTCGTGTTAAGCCGCTCGGTTTGTTGGGGACCTGAAAATGCCAGGTGCTACGGGCTGAATCGTGTCTCCTGCCATCCTTCAAATTCATACGTTGCAACCCTAACCCCCAGTGTGACTGTATTTGGAGATAGGGCTTTTAAGAAGTAATACGGTTAAGCGGGGTCATAAGGGTAGGGTCCTGATTCAATGGGATTAGCGGCAGGTGGTGAGGCAGAGATCTCTCTCTCGCTGTCTCTCTCCACAGATCACCAACCAGCCCCGGGAGCCAGGAGAGGAGGCCTCGGAACAAAGTCTACCTGCCTGCACCTTGACGATGGCCTTCTGGCCTCCAGACTGTGAGAAATGTCTGTCACTCAAGCTTCCAGTGTGGTATTTTGTGATGGCCTGAGCTGACTGACACAGCAGGTACCCACACCCACAGTGGCCTGGAGGGAAAGCTCAGGGAGGCCCAGGGCCAGTGGCCAGAGCCACGGGGCCAGCAGCATCAGCAGCCTGACCACGTGCCCTCCGGAATGTTGTCGGCAAGCAGCCCGAAAAGACAGAAACCCAGAGCAGGGGTAGACCCCAGAGCCAGGGCGGAGTCCTGGCCCCACAGGCCAAGGGCAGGGGCAAAGAGCACCAAAGGGAACTTTTGAGAAGGTGGTCCGCAGGGAGGTTTTGTGCAGGTCACGAGGACTGCAAGATCACCCCCAAGGACCTCTCTGAGCTGGAAATGGAAACAGGAAATAGCTAGATGGCGTTCATCTTGGAAAAATGCAAACTCACATATCTGGGCAAGGCTAATCCACACCACAGTGTGAGAAAGCTCCAGCGCAGAGCAGGGGGGAGGCATGCAGCCCCCAGGGCAGTTGCAAGGACCCAGGCAAGAGGCCATCGGTGTAGCCTCTCCGACTCTTTGCGGGGTGGTCTCAGCATGGGGACTGGGGTGTCTGGGAACCCCAAAGCAGGTTTAGTGGAAGAAGAGGCCTAAGGCTTCTACTTCCCAGTGGGCCAGACGGTGACCTAATGGTCTAGGGAGTGACGGAGAGAGCACCCGCCCAGCAGTGCTGTGGCCTTGCCCCCTGGTGCCCAGGCCTCCACTCAGTGGGCATGGGGCTCCGACTCCCCCTCACAGAACCTCCCTGGGCCTGCAGAAAGCCCCATGTTCCTCAGTTTTGCAAGCCACCCAGCATTTCAAGCATGCTGATGTGATGGGTCATTAGAAGTTGCCTCTGCCTCTGGGAGAGTCCCCAGCTGCCCTGGCCAGAGACAGAGGACATTAAGAGGGAAGCAAACGAGGCCTGGCTGAGGCACCTGCCTCCCTCAGCCCTGCGCCCACCAGCTGTGACAGGAGGCCTCCAGGAAGAGAAGATCAAGGACAGGGGTGGGAACAGGGTTACACCTGGCCTGCTGCACCTGTTCATCTGAGCCTGGGCTAAACCAGCTGCAGCAGAAGGAATGCAACACGTAGTGCCTGAAAAGGAGAGGAATACTCCATACTGTCAAGATGTCCACTTTCCCAAACTGATCTAGACAATCAAAACAATCCCAGTGTTGGAAAGGAATGGCTGGGTGTGATTTTTGTTTTCATTTTGTTGGATATGGTTACCAAATCGGCTTCCAAAAAGTCCTTCCTACAGATTGCTGACTCCCTCACACCTGACAGGTGCGCAGGTCAGGCGATCTGGTTCAAGTTTACAGTAGGATTCTTCTGTGAAATTCCTACCAGTGTTCTTGCCAGTTTTTCATTAGATCATTGACTTTTTCTTATTTATCTGTGGACAGTTTCACAATTACAGGAATTAGACAATTTCAAAATACATCACACACACTCCCCCCCCCGTCTGCCTTTTAATTCTTGTCGCATTTTCAATTTGAATATGGATCAAGTTTACTATTCTTTTTCTTCCCCTTCTCCAGGTTTATCGTGATAGACATTCGTCGACTTTCCAGGACCCTTTTTGTTTGCTTTTTAGATTTGGATGTTTTATGCATCTGGATTTCATTTTGGCCTTAAGGAGGGACCGAGAAAGCCACTTTCTATTTTTCCAAATGGCCGGCCAATGGTACCAACGCCGCTGGACGGAACACCTTCCGGGCTTTGAAGCCCCTCGACCAGCACGTTCCAGCCTCACGCGTCCGCCCCCTCCCCACCCCCGGCACGTCCCGCCCCCGCCCCTCCCCCGCGCCGCCGGTCCCCCCAGACCCCCCGCGTCCTGCCCCAGCCGCGCTCTCCACACCGCCCCCCACGCCCCGCCCCCTCGCCCCCGGACCCCCGCCCCGCTCTCCCCACCCCCAGGGCCCCTGCCCCGGCTCCCCTGCTGGTCCCCCACACAAGGCGGGTCCCGCGCGCGCCGCGCTCCCCGGCCCCGCCCCCGCCCCCGCCCCGCCGTGTCCCCCACACCCCATTCGCACCGGACCCTCCCGCCGGGCCCCGCCCCGCGCCGCGCCGCCCCGCCCCCAGCGCTCTCCCGCCCCGCCCCCATCACTCCGCCCCGCCCCCGCGCTCCCCGCCCCGCCCCCATCACTCCGCCCCGCCCCCAGCGCTCTCCCGCCCCACCCCCGCGCTCCCCCGCCCCGTCCCCATCACTCCGCCCCGCCTCCGCGCTCACTTGGTCCCGCCCCCGCCCCGCCGTGTCCCCCACACCCCATTCGCATCGGACCCTCCCGCCGGGCCCCCGCCCCGCCCCCAGCGCTCCCCCGCCCCGTCCCCATCACTCCGCCCCGCCTCCGCGCTCACTTGGCCCCACCCCCGCCCCGCTCTCGTTCTCCCCGGCCTCGCCCCCGCCCCGCCGTGTCCCCACACCCCATTCGCACCGGACCCTCCCGCCGGGCCCCCGCCCCGCGCCGCTCCGCGCCGCCCCGCCCCCATCACTCCGCCCCGCCCCCGCGCTCCCCCGCCCCGCCCCCATCACTCCGCCCCGCCTCCGCGCTCACTTGGCCCCACCCCCGCCCCGCTCTCGTTCTCCCCGGCCTCGCCCCCCACGCCGGCGCTGTTCCAGTTCGCTCTGCGAGTTATTTACATAAAGGGCGTGTCCTCTGGTGCTATTTGCATGGAGAAGGGGCCTGAGGCGCAAACTCAGTCCGGTGGGAGCCCCGGACGGCTCCGAGCGGCCTAATTTGCATGGGGCGGGGCCTGCTCGCACTGACCGCCAGGTGCCGCTTCCTCTTCCAGCCTGCTTCCGCCGCCTTTTTTCCGATTTGCGCGCGCCTTTTTCCGGCGCCGGCCCGCGGCCAGAGGGGATGCTCCCGAAGCAGCGACGGGCGCGGGTCCGGTCCCCCGACGGCCGTGCCTCCTCCTCCCCGCCGCGCTTCCCGGGCGTCGCCATCTACTTGGCGGAGCCGCGCATGGGCCGCAGCCGCCGGGCCTTCCTCACGCGCCTGGCGGTCTCCAAGGGCTTCAGAGTCCTGGACGCCTACAGGTGCGCGGTCGTGGAGAACTTGCGGCCCGGGGTGGGGCCCTTGCCCGCGGCGCTTTGGGGGGGTGGCACCTGACCGGGGCTCCTGTTCGGGGCGCCTTGGCGGGGGGGCACCTGTGTGGGGGCTCCTGCCGGGGGGTCACCTGCCCTGGGGTTTCTGCGTGGGACGCCTTCAGGGAGTCACCTGCCGGGGCTCCTGCCCGGGGCCCCTTCATGGTTGGGGGGGCGCCTGCACGAGGGGCGCGGGGCGGGTGCTGCGCCCGTAGGGGACCGAGGGACGCGTGTGTGGGATCGCCATGCCGTCACGCCCCGACGACACTGCTGCGTGGCGTGAGCGCCTAAGCACAAAATGCCCCTGCTCAGAACTTTGCAAGTTACCGGCCACACTCACAAGCAGTATTTCTTTTCAGCTGAGGATATTGACATCTAAAACGATTCACCTGGCAGGGGAGGGGCACCTGAGGTTTTGGATTCCAAGTTAGCCCTGGCATTTCATGCTCATGTGGCTTTTCTCTCAATATCCTCTTGTATAAAAGGGTGCTAGCAGTCAGGGCCAGGAGTGTTCTGTAGGACAAGGAGAGAACGTATGCCAGGGGCTCTGTAAAGAGCTATAGGGCGCTGTGGGGTGGTTAAGGATATCACTGGCTGAGGGCCTTGTGCCCTCGGTGAGTTCATCTTGCCCTATTAGCCAAAGTGACGCCTCCCCTCTGGGCTGAGACAGTGACTTGAGTGAGACTCCCAGATCAGCAAAAATTATGGGCTACAGAGACACTGCTGAGGTTAAGGAAATGGGTTCCAGTAGGTTTAAGGTTGGAAGAGCAAGCAAACCAGGGGCCAGTCCCCCAGCAGCTTTTTTGTTTGTTTGTTTGTTTAAGTAATTTAACCATTCCCAGTGGTTAGACCCACGCAGAGAGGAGTTTAGTGTGCTGGGTGCTGTCTAAGCCTCTAAGCCTTTTGCTTATGAGTTTGTTTAATCTGTGTAACAACCCGACGCAGTAGATAGGTTGTTACCTGCTTTAAAGAGGAAGAAATCAGGGGCGCCTGGGTGGCTCAGTCCTTAAGCGTCTGCCTTCGGCTCAGGTCATCATCCCAGGGTCCTGGGATCGAGCCCCACATCAGGCTCCCTGCTCGGCGGGGAGCCTGCTTCTCCCTCTCCCACTCCCCCTGCTTGTGTTCCCTCTCTGACTGTGTCTCTCTCTGTCAAATAAATAAAATCTTTAAAAATAATAATAATAAAAAATAAATAAAGAGGAAGAAATCAGGGGACAGGGAAGTTAAGTGAGATGCCCAAGGCCACCCAGCAAGTGTGTGCCAGAGCTGGGGTTCACACCCAAGCAGTCTGGCAGACAAAGAGCCTCTGGTTCTGCCCTCTAAGGACCTCCATTCTCAGAGGCTGGAGGGGGGAGAGGAGGGCAGACGAGTTGACAGAGACGTGGGCTGGGCTGCAGCTCTGCGGGTGCTGGGGTGACAGACGTGTTCCTCTTCGAGAAGGGGCTTTCTGAGGAGGTGGCATGGAAGAATGAATGGGTGCTCACCAGGCAGAGGGGACAGGAAGCAAAGGCCTGGAGGCACCGAGCAAGGCAGGAGGGACCTCTGGACGTGAGCTCCGCCCCCTCTCTCCAGCTCTGAGGTGACGCATGTGGTGATGGAACAGACCTCAGCGGAGGAGGCCAGCTGCTGGCACGGGGGCAGGGCGGCAGCGGCCTCGCCCCAAGGAGGCACCCGCCCAGCGCTGCTGGACATAAGCTGGTTCACAGAAAGCATGGCAGCTGGGCAGCCCCTGCCCGTGGAGCAGCGGCACCGCCTGGAGGTGAGCTGGGTGGCCTGGCGTGGGGCCCGCGGAGAATGCCCGGTGCGGGCTCTGGCCCGGAGGGCACAGCTGGCCTGTCAGGAGCACCACGGTGCCTACAGATGCGGGGGGGGGGGGCAGTGGGGCTCAGCGCAGACCCCCGGGGGCCCTTGGAGGCCAGGCCATCCTGGCTTCTGCTCTCATTGGTATGAGCTCTTGAGGTGCACTTATTTCTAGCATCTTCAGGCCTTTCGTGCGCAAGTAGTGAGACAGGAACTCCTGGTGAGATGACCCAAGGACCAGCAGGAAGCTGTCCTCACGGTGCTGTGGGTCTGTGGCTTCTGCCCCCATTCAGTGCTTCCTGGGGGGATGCAGATGTGGGCTCAGGGTCGGGCTTCCCAAGGTCAGCCCTGCCTGTGGGCCACGAGCCGGTGTCCCTGTCTGCAAGGTGGGCATGACAGGCACTGCCAGCCCACGCAATTGAGACGGTTGCGGGAGGTAGAGCACACGCATCATGTGCAGCGACAGGAATGGTCCTCCCTGAGGGTCCGTGGGTGCTGGGCCTGCTGATGCTCTGGGTGAGGAGCCTCTCCTCAGCCTGCTCCACTCCCGCTCTTCTTGTCAGGGGCAGGGCTCTGGGGGCTGCTGGGCCCTGCCAGCCCTCAGCCTCCAAGTGGCCTCTGTGTTTCCCGCCCCCAGGTGGCTATGCCCAGGAAGGAGCTGCCCAGCCCAGTGAGGATGCCGCCCTATGCCTGCCAGCGCCCCACGCCGCTCACACACCACAACACTGGCCTCTCGGTGAGCCGTGGGTTCCCAGCCTCCCTGGGGTGGGGCCGGGCCTGTTGCCGGCAGCCCTGCCACCCTGCCCTCCCAGCCTGGGGACAGGTGGGTGGGAGCTGGAGGGTGCGGAGTCAGGCACCGTGCCCCCTCTCCAAGGGCCTCTCCTTGCAGGAGGCTCTAGAGGTGCTAGCGGAGGCCGCAGGCTTTGAGGGCAGAGAGGGCCGCTTCCTCTCCTTCCGTAGAGCAGCCGCGGTGCTCAAGGCCCTTCCGAGCCGGGTCACGGCCCTGAGCCAGCTGCAGGGGCTGCCCCACTTTGGAGAACACTCCTGCAGGGTCGTCCAGGTAGGTACTCCCGGGTGGAGTCGTGAGTGCAGGCCGGTGGGTGAGGTGGCCTGGGGATCGTGAGCGCGGGGGGGTCAGGGGCTCGGTGCAGCCCTGGAGGCTGGCTTCAGGGCCAGGGCGAGCCACCCTCTGCTCGGATTCCTCGTCTGTGAATGGGGGCCACGCCGTGTGGATCGTTGGCATCGGCCCCGCTGTCTGGGATGGTGGACGGGAACCCCAGACTTGGAGCATTTCTTTTTAAAATACAAAGTACATAAGGACCCAGAATGTTAGGTGCTTCACATACCATGTTAAGTGTCCCACCTAAGGGGTTCACTTGCCACTGGGAGACTATGTGGGGACCAAACATACTTTTGAACTCAAGCTTTTTTTTTAAAGATTTTTTTTTTTATTTGAGAGAGAGACAGAGAGCATGAGAGGGAGGAGGGTCAGAGGGAGAAGCAGACTCCCCGCCGAGCAGGGAGCCCGATGCGGGACTCGATCCCGGGACTCCAGGATCATGACCTGAGCCGAAGGCAGTCGCTTAACCAACTGAGCCACCCAGGCGCCCCCACACTGAGGATTTCTTTTCTTTCTTTTTTTTTTTTTTAAGATTTTATTTATTTATTTGAGAGAGAAAGAGAGAGCACATGAGAGAGGGAGGGTCAGAGGGAGAAGCAGACTCCCCGCCGAGCAGGGAGCCCGATGCGGGACTCGATCCCGGGACTCCAGGGAGCCCGATGCGGGACTCGATCCCGGGACTCCAGGGAGCCCGATGCGGGACTCGATCCAGGGACTCCAGGATCATGACCTGAGCCGAAGGCAGTCGCTTAACCAACTGAGCCACCCAGGCGCCCTGAACTCAAGCTTTTAAGCAAAGTCCCGTTAATAATACGTCACCCGTGTTTGGAAAAGCCACAGTTTCCATATTCTGGGACTTGTCATTGTCTGAGAGGTGGCCCGTGTTCCCTGGGCTGAGGACCGTGAGGCCAGACGTGTTGGTGCCTCCCCGGGCGTGGTCTCTATTTCCAAGCGCCCCTGGGTGCTGATCGGACGAAGCTGCCCTGCTGAGTGTTGGGGTTCCGCCTGGTCCTCGGGCCCCAGACCTTGTGTCCAGTCAGGCTGAGCCTTCTGCTTGGTCCCCTAGGAGCTGCTGGAACATGGGGTGTGTGAGGAGGTGGAGAGGGTCCGGCTGTCAGAGCGATACCACACCATGAAGGTACATGCAGGGCGGACCCCAGCAGGGGCTCGGAGCCCTCCCCCGGCTGGCAGCCCGGTGCCAGCCACGGACGGGAGGCGAGCAGGGGCGCCCGGGGATCAGAGAAGGTCTTGCTGAGGAGGTGGCCGCGAGCTGACACCGGAGATGCGTGAGGCAGCCAAACAGTGGGGCGAGGAGAAGCGTGTAGCACAGGGGGGTTTGTAGATCCACTCAGCACCATCAGTGGAATATTCTCCACTGTGTTGTGTCCCCCGGCATCTTAAACAGAGCGTACTGGACAAAACGTAACTTCCTCCCTCTTTATGATCTCGAGCCCTGCTTGTCGCCCTGCCTGTGTCCACAGCGCACCTTCCCCTGTTCCTACCGCCCCCGATCTGACGCCCCAGAGCTCTGGTGGCTGCCTCCATCCCGCGGCTCAGACGCCTGTCCCATCAGCGACCTGTTGGGGGCGGGGGGCTTCCCTGGCAGGGTGGGCCGTCGGTGGTGAGGGCCAAGGGGGCGCTTCAGAGAGGGAGAGGAGCCACGGGTGAAGGATGGAGGGTCCCAGGTAGGTGCCCAGGCCAGCAGAGAGGTGGGTCAACGATTAGAAGTTCATTGTCGAAACAACATGGTTGGGCTGTTCTGAGCACTTTTTCTGTCAGGACCCAGGCTCTTCGTTCCGGGGACCGAGGGAAGGATGGCCAGCATAGCCCAAGATGGGCAGGGCTGGAGCCAGAGGAAGCAGGGCTCGGGGACCCGAGTGCCACCAGGGTCCTCCTCCTTTCTGTGCGCTGGCCCCCTCGCCAGCTGAGACCCAGCCACGGAAGGCTCCCCGTCCGTGGGTTACAGCCTCCAGCACCGCACATGCCTGACATTCTGTTTCGCTTCCAAAAATGGCTGGAGCGGGTGCCTACCTCGGACCAACAGCTTGGTCGGGGAGGAAAGAGTGACTTGCTGGGGCCGGGGGCTGGCCCCCCCGCCCCGTGTGGGAGACCCGTGTGGGGCCGGCCGCCCCCGACGGGAGGTTGGCTCCCACGCTGCAGCTCCTCTAGAACAACCCTCTGGTTTGCTAAGGAGAAGAACCCCGGTGCGAAACCCCAGCTGCTATTAGGTGGGGGCGGCGTGGTTCCCAGTGGACAGGAGGCTGTGGGGTGACTGGTGTGCGGTGCTGGACTCACAGGCCGGAGCTGCACGTGCTCTGGGGAGAGACTTGCCCGGAGCAGGGGGTCGAGGCCCTCAGAGGGAGGTACCCTGGGGTCTGTCCGGGCCGTCCCCCGCACAGGCCGGCCTTGGGGTTTGAATCCTGCCTGTGTGCGCACCACGTGGCCTCGGGCGGCCTGCTTGAACCGGGCAGCTGTGAGCGGCCACGGGGCGGCCCGGGACAGCAGGGCCCTCGCGGACGGTGGTGGCCATCTGCATCTTCTGTCAGGACTTCGCTCCTGACCACGCCGTGCTCGTCCCCCAAACAGCTTTTCACTGGGATCTTCGGGGTTGGGGTCAAGACTGCTGACCGGTGGTACCGGGACGGGCTGCGGACCCTGGACAGCCTCCACAAGCAGCCCCAGAGGCTGACCCAGCAGCAGAGAGCAGGTGAGCCTCTGAGAAGGACGGGGCCCCGGGCCCCCCCACACCACGGAGCCCTCAGCACTGACCAGACGCGGCACGTGCCGGGGGGCTGCCTGGACGGCAGGGCGCGGGGTCGGTGCACAGAGGCCCCAGGGGCAGGCCGGCCTCTGTCTGGATCTGCTGGAGCCCTTCCGCAGCGAACAGTGATGGGGTGACGTTCACGCCTCCCGGGTGGACCGGGAAGGGGAGGCCCGTGCCCTGCGCACAGCTTGGCAGCGTGGGGCTGGTGTCCTGGCGCACTGGCAGATGGCATGGGGACCTGTGGGGCAGGAGAGGCTCAGGACAGGGCCTGCTCATGGCAGGGGGCCCCGTGCAGTGGAACGAACGGGAGCTTGAGTGTGTCAGGCCTGGGCTGGAGTCCTGTCTTGGCCACGTACTAGGTAGGTGACCATGGCCCTGAGACTTTACCTTCGCTGAGCCTCCGTTCCGCTGTCTGGGAGCTGCTCCGTGTGAGGCCAGTGGGTAGCAGGTGTTAGACTGGCCTCCCCGCGTGGCCGCGGTTGGGGGCCCCGCCAGAGTGGTTCCGCAGCCTGGCACCCACCGCGCCTTTGAACATCTTCCCTCGGACTGGGGGAGGGGAGGCCCTGCGGGGGTCCGCAGGTGGTGCGACCCATGAAGTCACATGTCTGAGGGAACAGGAGGTGCTGTCAGCCACGGGTCCCCGTGCCGCGGTCAGGAACCGCCTACCGAGAGCCTGCGCGCCCAAGCGCCGCCGCTCCCCCTCTGAAACCTCTCCTGACTGTGCGGGAGGCAGCGGTCCCCCCGCAGGTGCGGGGCTGGGCCAGGGCTCCGGTGAAGGGGTTCCTGAGCGGCAGAGCCACCTCCTTCATGTCCCTATCCGCTTCCGGCCCGTTTTATGGAGGGGAGAACCGAGGCCTTCAAAGGGGTAGTCTGCGTCATGACCGCACCCACACCCGCAGCCTGATGGCACAGACAGTAGTTCTGCTAGCCCTTCCATGCCGCTGCCTGCGGATCTGCGGTCTCCTCTGCTTCAGAGGGAGGAGGGGACAGCGGAGAGCACGAGCCGGTGGGGCTGGGAAGGTCAGGAGACCGTGCTTCCGCAGGACTCCGGCACTACCACGACCTGAGCGCCCCGGTCCGGCGGCCGGAGGCGGAGGCCCTGCAGCAGGTGGTGGAGGCCGCTGTGGCGTGCGTCCTGCCCGGGGCCACCGTGACGCTGGTGGGCGGCTTCCGGAGGTGAGGGGGTCTGCTGGCCCTCCAGGGAAGGCCCCTGGGGTGGGCCCTCCCTCACTGGCGGGACCTGGGAGCAGCCACAGCGCCGTGTGGCCCCCAGAGTCAGACGGCGCCCCCTCAGGGGGAAGTTGCAGGGCCACGACGTGGACTTGCTGGTCAGCCACCCCCAGGAGGGCCGGGAGGCCGGGCTGCTGCCCAGCGTGATGGGCCGCCTGGAGAAGCAGGTGAGGGGCTCGGGCTGCCTGCCTGGGCTGGGGGGACGGCGGGGAGGACTGCCGGGACTCTGGCTCCTGCCCCCGGCCCCGCCCCGCCCCGCGGTGGCCCACCACGCCTGCTCTGCCCGCAGGGGCTTGTCCTGTACCACCAACACCACCGCGGCCGCCCTGAGGACGCCGCCCACCCGACCCGGGGGAGCCACACCATGGATGCCTTCGAGATTGCTTTCTGCATTTTCTGCCTACCACAACCCCCAGGGGCCGTGGTGGGGGGCGCCCAGAGGAGGGCCGTGCGGGTGGACCTGGTGGCTGTCCCCAACAGCCAGCTCCCCTTCGCCCTGCTAGGCTGGACTGGCTCTAAGGTAGGCGCCGGCTGTGGGGGCCGGGCCTGGGGCTGTGGGGGGGATCAGCGGCCCTGCCACGACCTCGCTCTCCCCAGCATTTCCAGCGGGAGCTGCGCCGCTTCAGCCGGAAGGAGAGAGGGCTGTGGCTGAACAGCCATGGGCTGTTTGACCCGGAGCAGGTAGTGTTGCTGGGCGGGGGGTTGCCTGGGGGAGGAACCCGCTGCCCCTCCCGACCCCTCCCTACGCCCTTCTCCAGGAAGCCAGCGCCGTCGGGGGCAGCCCCCAGGCCTTAACACCCCCACTCCTGTTGCAGAAGATGCTTTTCCACGCGGCCTCCGAGGAAGACATATTCAGGCACCTGGGCCTTGAGTACCTTCCCCCAGAGCAGAGAAATGCCTGAGCCTGCCTGCCGGCCCCACCCCACTCTGGCGAGCCAGCCCTGTGGGCTCCAGGGAGAGGATGCACTGTGGCCCCAGGTCCTCGCCCCTCCCGACCCCCGGCCCGGAGCCCTACCCACCCTCCAGTCCAGGATCTAATGAAATGACACCGTGCACCAAACCAAGCTCTGTGTTCTGAATGCGCTACTGTGATGGGGAGTGCGGGGCACCTGGCCCCCATCAGCTATGGGGTGATGGTTGGGGGCACCGTGGCGGGGTGCCCCTGGGCCAGTGTGGATGTGAACAGCCCCGTCTCCGTGGTGGGGTGCTTGCACGGCCTGAGGTGGTGGATGGCGGTGTCCCAGGGCTCCGAGATGGGGGGTGGAGGCCTGGAGCTCCTTCCCGCCAGGAGTGTGCCACCAGGCGCTAAAGGGCGGCCAGCATCTGGAGAGGGCCGGTGCAGAGGCAGGAGCTGGGGTGGGGGGAGAACTTCCGGTGCTGGCCCCCACCTTCCAAACAGGCGTCCAGTCTCCGGTCTCTGCCTTTGTTCTTCAAGCTCTGTTCTCAGAAGGCCTTTAACAGCCACGTAGCGTCCCCGCCCTTGCTCCCTGCGCCCCACAGCCCCCCACCCTGTTCAGTAATTCCAGAGTCCTCACTGTGGCCCCCAGGGGCCTGGCATTCCTGCGTCCCCCTGACCGCTGGCCTCCTCTCCGCTCCCACTGCTCTGACCGAGCCGCGGACGCCCGCGGGGCCGGTGGGGGTCCCAGCGTCTCACGGAGGGGCACTGGCCACGCGGTGTCCTCTGCTTCGGCTCCAGTGCCTTCGCTGCTGGACCGTCCACCTGGAACACTGTCCAGACTCACAGGTCTCTGTCAGGTGAGGACGCCCCTGACCGCTCTCTGCAATAAAAAATACTTTTCAAAGGAACTTGCAGTGACGTTGACTCGTTTTGGCATAGGGTTTTACGAATTGTAACGTGTGTAGTCGCGCCCACCTCCACCAGGCCAACCTTGCAAATAAAGCAGCCAGTTATTGTACCAGCAAAATGGGTTCATTTGGGAATGGCGGAGGGACTGCGATCAGGCCGGGACCAGGAGGAGGGGGCTGGGCGGGGCTGCTCTGCGGGTCCGATGGAGGAAGCGGGGGGCCGGGTGGTGCCCGGCGGCAGGGCAGGCTTCTTCCCAAGCTGGGGCTCCATCCGAGCCCCTCTCCGGCCCCCAGACTCTTCTCAGGGAGGTTGTGTTTGCTCAGTGTGTCTGCTCCGCAGCAGGACGACCCCGCGCTGGCCCGACGACCCCGCGCTGGCCCGTCGTCCCCCCACCGCCGCTCGCCTGTCGCACCCACGGGCTCTCCTGGCGCTTCCCGGTCCCTGCGGTTCTCCTTCTGCAGAACGTGCTGTGCGTGCAGGCCCACTCCGTGTAAGCTTCCGAGACTGGCCCCTCCGCGTGGGGCCTCCGACAGCCCTCCGGGTGCCCGTCGTTCCCCCTGCCACCGCGGGGCATCATCCGGCGTCGACGCGTCCACCTGTCGAGAACTTGCGTCCAGGCTCTGGTGACCACGAAGAGAACCGCTGCAGACTTGGACGACGCGTGTCCGTGTGAACACAGGCTCTCCTTTCTCGGGGCACACGGTGAGACCCGGGGTCTCCAGGGCTTACGGGGTGAGGGTGGGCCACTTTCCAAGGACCGCCGCATGGACAAGCGTCCCGGGAGCCCGGCGCTCGGTTTGCACGCGCCCCCGCCGTCTGCAGGGCCGAGCACTGTTTCCCCGCGGTGCCATCGCTGTCTCCGCCCTGCGTGTGGGTGCCCTGCTCTCTGTAACCGTCTGTGTGTAGGGTGTGTGTGCATTTCTTCCAAGGGCGCTTCTCAGAGCAGAGTTTGACCTTTTAGGAAGTCTGGTTCGCCAGTCTGTCCGTGCACCTTTTTTCTTTCCTCTCACGCTTCTGGGTCATGTCTCTGACTCCGAATTACAATAAACGCTGTCTCTGTTTTCTTGCAGAGCGTACAGTTTACATGGAGATGTAGGATTCATTCTGAGTGAATTTTAAGTATGAGGTTTAGGCTGACGATTCGGTATCTGCGGGAGGAGGCCCGTGGTTCCAGCACCATCTGTCGACAAGGCCGTCTTTTCGCTCCCGGATTGTCCTCGAACCTTCCTGAGACATCCGTTGGCCATTTTTGTGCAGGGCTGTTTCTGGGTTCTCTTCTGTTCCATCTCTCTCTCTGCCCATCGCTTCAAAAACACCCTCCTAACTCGACTAACCTGAATTGGAGGGGAATGCCTAGATCAGCTGGTGTGACTCCTCTAATTTTATTCTTTCCAGATTGTTTTGCCTGCTCTTCTTTTGACTTTCCGTATAGATTTTAGAATCAGCTTGTCTGTCTACGAAGGAATACTTGGGGATTCGTGAACACAGGATGTCTCGGCACGAAGTTGCTTGTCTTTGATTCCTTCCATCAGTGTTTTCTGGTTTTTCAACATAGAGACCCAGCCCCTGCTCTGTTAGGTTTATGCCTAATGCTCTCTTTCCCTTGGAGCTGTTACAGATTGTTTCAGTTTCCATTTGTTCATTGTGAGCACTCAAACCCACCTATTCTCATGCATAGATGTATCCAGAAACCTGACAGAACTCACTATTAGTTTAGATTCCTGGTGGTTCTGTCTGTCCGTCCACATAAACAGCCCTCCTGTCTGTGACTGGGAACAATTTCAGGTCCCCTGTTATTTGCTTGTGTGGCCTCACTGGTCTGGCCGGAGCCTCTGGGGCTCCGCGGGTGGACGTGGGCCTCTTTGTTCGCGCCCAGTCTTGGGTTCAGCGTTTCCCCATTAAGATGATGTTAGGGGTCCGGCGTCTGTAGGTGCCCTTTATCAGATGAAGGAAGTTCAGTTTTATTCCTGGTTTTCTGAGTATTTTTATCAGGAAGGGGTGTTGGATTTTGTCAAATGCTTTTTTTTTTTCATTCATTGAGATGATCATGTGTCATTTTTGTCAAAAAACAAAACATTCTACTGATAGGGTGTATTAATTGGCTTTCAGATTTAAACCTCCCGACATAAACTGCATGGTGTAGAATCCATTTTATTTGTTGCTAGATTCTGTGCTGAAGTTTGTATGTAACAGATCCTCTCTGCAGCTGTCTCTGCTGTCTTTGATGAGTGATGGTATCAGGGTGATTGATACCATGGAACACGAGGTTACTGTTCACTTTAACCAATGTGCATTATTATATTCAGGGCAAGTTCCTCGAAGCCAGCATGGAATTGGGTGACTTTTAAAAGTCCAAACTATAAGTTGTCTTTAATTCAATGTGTTTGGCTGTGATATTGTGATACAATAAGAAATGCATAAGGGCGGGCGCCTGGGTGGCTCAGTCGTTAAGCATCTGCCTTCCGCTCAGGTCATGATCCCAGGATCCTGGGATCGAGTCCCGCATCGGGCTCCCTGCTCAGCAGGGAGTCTGCCTCTCCCTCTACTCCTCCCCCCTGCTCATGATCTCTCTCTCTCGCTCTCTCAAATAAAAAAAAAAAAAAGAAATGCATAAGGGCATCTGGGAGGCTCAGTCAGTTGGGCGTCCAACTCTTGATTTCGGCTCAGGGTCCTGGGATTGAGCCCTGTGTCAAGCTCAATCCGCTGGGGAGCCTGCTTCTCCTCCTCCCTGCTCATGCTTGCTCTCTCTCTCAATAAATAAATAAAATCTTCTTTAAAAATACAGAAATCCATATTTTGGTCTTCCTGTCCACCTCCTGGCCAGAGCTCCTAAATCCCATGAAATGTCTTGGGTGAAAGGAATGTCTTTTTCCCAGTGAGGCACTCACTCGGTGGGCTCTGGGATGGCTTTGGGATGGGGCTGGGCACCAGAAAGATCAGGCCGTGATTAGAAGCCCAGCCCCATCCTCCAGGAAGGGGAGAGGCACTGGAGATCGTTCATAATCAGTGATGCCATGAAAATCCCTAAAGTACAGGTTCGGGGAGCTTCTGGGTTGGTGAACACGTCCTGCATCACAGGGTGATGCACCCCAGCTCCACAAGGTTGAGGAGCAGAAGCTGCTACACTCAGGAGCCTTCAAGACCTCACCCTATGCACCTTGTCATCTGTTTGTACATATCTTTTATCATATTCTTTATTGTATAATAAACTGGTAATGAAAGAGTTTCCCTGCGTTCTGGGGGGGAGTTGTTCTAGAAAATTATCAAACCCAAAGGGGGGCATGTGGGAAGCCCAATCGATAGCCAATCTGTCGGAAGTACAGGTGAGCACCTGGGGCTTGCAATTGGCTTCTGAAGCGGGGGCAGTTTTGGGGGACTGAGCCCTTCCCCCATGGGGTCGATGCAGTCTCCAGGGAGATGGTGTTAGAGCTGAGTTAGACGGTAGGACCCCCAGTTCTCCTTGGTGGAGAAGTGCTTGGTGGGGAAAATTCACAGCATGAGTGTTAGCGGTGGTGTGAGGAGTAGAGTTCAAGAGTAGAAACAGCCTCATTTCCTTTAGTTGCTGTGCAGAGAGTGCCCATGTCCGAGGCCAGGCCCTTCCCGTTTAATGAGACTATTGCATGGTTTGGGGTTAGGCAAACAGTTGTTCTCTGTTTCTTCTTTCCTGCCCTGCTGCTCTCTTCCTGACTATATTTCTTTGTATATATAATATTGATGGGGGCACCTGGGTGACTCAGTCGGTGAAGCATCTGCCCTCGGCTCAGGTCATGGTCCCAGGGTCCTGGGATCGAGTCCCACATCAGGCTCCCTGCTCAGTAAGGAGCCTGCTTCTCCCTCTGCCCCGACCCCCTGCTTGTGCGTGCTTTCTCCCTCTCTCAAATAAAATCTTTAAAGAAAAATATTTAGTGGTTCTAGAAATTATATACACACTTTTCATAGCCTACTTAGAATTAATATTTTGCCACTTTGTGTGGAATGGAGAATGCTACCAGCCTACAGGTCCCTTTACCCTTCATGTTGTAGTCTGATTCCCTCTGCATACATTGGAACCCCCAGCAGACAGTGTTAGAAGACAAATTATAAATTTATAATGTATATGTAGCTATATATATTAAGTTTATATTTTATATGTGTGTGTGTGTATATATATATCTTAAGGGTAGCTATACATACATACGTATATAGCTAAACTTAATAAAAACTGCCAGTTATTTCACCAGGAACAGATGGGTGTATTCAGGAATAAAAGAGAATTTCAGTCCTGGACAAACAAGCTGGGCAAAACCCTAGGCAAGTCTGGGGAACGAGGGAGAAAAGGGGTGAATTGGGAGGAGCTGTTATGAACTCAAAGTGCGTTGGAGGAAGCTGGGGGGCGGGTGGAGGCTTCTCGGCGGCAGAGCTGTGGCCCCAGAGGAGCGAAGCGTCTGTCCCTCCTGCGGGGGTCACAGCCTCCGGCAAGGTCCCATCCAGGTGAGGGCAGGGCGGGCTCTTCCTGTCGGGTCAGCGATGGACCCCTGGGAGGGCTGCGAGCGCCCCCTGCCGGAGCTTCCAACGCGGTCTCTGGGAGGTTTCCCAGTACTGATTTTCACTACATATGGGGTATTTTTTCCCCCATTTAAAAAAAGATTTATTTATTTATTTTTAAAGATTTTATTTATTTATTTGAGAGAATGAGAGAGAGAGCGCACAAGACGGGGGAGGGTCAGAGGGAGAAGCAGACTCTCTGCTAAGCAGAGAGCCCAATGCGGGACTCGATCCCAGGACCCTGGGATGATGACCTGAGCCGAAAGCAGACGCTTAACGACTGAGCCATCCAGGCGCCCCAGTTCTTGCATTTCAACAGTTTAAAAATATTGTTCTGCTTCCTTCTGGCCTGCTTGGTTTCCGGTGAGAAACCCAGAGCCTTGCAAAGAATTGCTCCCTACATGAAGTGAATCATTTTCCTCTGGCTGATTTTAGAATTTTTTCCTTGGTCTTTAGTTTTCCTACATCTCATCATGATGTGTCTGCACTCATTTCAATTCTACAATACGGGGTTCTCAGCTGTAATCACCATGCTTTACATTAGATCCTTAGGCTTTATTCATTTTACAGACCTCTCCCTATTTCCCCCACCCCCAGCTCCTGACAATCACTTTTCTACTGTTTTTTATGGATTGGACCTTTTTCTTTTTCTTTTTTTTTAAAGATCCCCATATAGAACCCTCCTGCACTGTTGGTGGGAATGCAAGCTGGTGCAGCCACTCTGGAAAACAGTATGGAGGTTCCTCAAAAAGTTGAAAATAGAGCTACCATACAACCCAGCAATTGCACTGCTGGTTATTTACCCCAAAGATACAGATGTAGTGATCTGAAGGGGCACCTGCACCCCAATGTTTATAGCAGCACTGTCCACAATAGCCAAACTATGGAAGGAGCCTAGATATCCATTGACAGATGAATGGATAAAGAAGATGTGGTCCATATATACAATGGAATATTAGGCAGCCATTGAAAAAATGAAATCTTGCCATTTGCAACGACGTGGATGGAACTAGAGGGTATTTTGCTGAGCGAAATACGTCATTCAGAGAAGGACAAGTATCATATGATATCACTGATATGAGGAATTTGAGAAGACAGAGGATGATACAGGAAGGGAGGGGAAAATGAAACAAGATGTAACCGGAGACGGAGACAAACCATAAGAGACTCTTAATCTCAGGAAACAAACTGAGGGTTGCTTGAGTGGTGGGGGGTGGGAGGGATGGGGCGGCTGGGTGATAGACTTTGGGGAGGATATGTGCTATGGTGAGCGCTGTGAATTGTGTAATTGTGTTGTGGCAAATGGCAGGATTTTCCTTCTCATGACTGAATATTTCATTGCGTGTGTGTATTAGACATATATGTATATATATATGACGATATGTGTGTATCACATCTTTATCCATTCATCCATCGATGGACACTCAGCTTAGATTTCTACATCTTGTCTGTCAAGAATGCTACAGGGAACATGGGGGTGCCGATACCTCTTTGAGATTCTGTTCTCATTTCCTTCAGCTACATGCTCAGAAGTAAGATTGCTGGATCATATGGTAGTTCTATATTTTTAGTTTTTTTGAGGAAACTCCATACTGTTTTCCAGAGTGACTGCACCCGTTGGCATTCTCACCACAGTGCACAGGGGTTGTGGATAATCTCAGCAACACTTGTCATCTTTTGTCTTTTTGGTGATGGCCATTTTAACAGGTATGAAGTGATATCTCATTATGGTTTTGATTTTCAGTTCCCTGATGGTGACTGATGTGGAGTGTCTTTTCCGCACCTACCAAGACTTCCTTCCCTACAGTCAGGACTGAGGGTTGGCTTCCAGAGACACGTGGCTGCCGCACCTTGCAACTTCTAGGCCCTTCTGTGATACCCTTGGCATTTCCCAGGCCCAAGTTCAGGTCTAAACTAGTGATCTGGGAGGCTCCCGAACTCACTTCCTTCTCCTGGATACACCAAATCCACAGGTACAGAGAAGCAGTTCCCTCTAAAAAGAAATCCAGAAACTAGTTGAACAATTGCTACATATCGGGCAAACATGAAAACACCCACAGCAAACCGGGTCACCGGTGTCTCCCTGGAAGGAGCTTGTGCGCCTCTTGCTGCCCTGGCTTTGTCAGCTGCCATCCAGAGCCATGCCCCTTGATCACCTATTTCTGGTGGCCAGTGGGGCTTGCATTTGCAGGGCCCCCCAGGACTGTTCAAAGAAAGACGCCATTCTTAAACAGCTATCTGCCCAGGGCTCAGCACAGAGTATGCACACTGAAATCCTATCTCCCGGGCTTTGCATGAACGAGGACTTTGCTTACTTCGAAGGCTGCTGCCTGAGGGTCAGGCTTCTAATTTAGCACACATCTATGGCTGAGCCTCCTCTTTGGGACACTAATGGGCCTTGGCACACTTTCAACCACTGGGAGCCACTAAGAAGAAAGAAGTGGCTTGGGCAATCACAGAGGTTTGAGCGAACCAAGAGTGTGGGCTGGGCTGAATGATAGGGTTCACCCCCTTCATGAGACCACTCCATCAAGATTCAGAGAGGCGGCTGTTTTATCAAAGACACAGAAACCAACACAGAGAGTCCAGGAAAATGAACAGAGGAATATGTTCCAAACAAAAGAGCAAAACTCCAGAAACAGACCTTCATGAAATGGAGGTTAGTGACTTACCTGATAAAGAGTTCAAAATAATGGTCATAAAGATGCCCACCGAGCTCAGGAGAATTATGCATGAACAAATGAGAATTTCAACAAAGACGTGGAAACTAAAAGAAAATACCAAACATAAACCACAGAGATGAAGAATACAGAAATTGAACTGAGATTCAACAGAAGGGTTCGGCTACAGACTACATAAAGCGGACTTGAAGATAGTACAGTGGAACTCATCAGAGGAGCAAAAAGAAAAAAGTGAGAAAGAAGATACCTTAAGCGGCTTATGGGACACTATCCAAGGAGGCCAAAATGTGCATTATAGGATCCCAAAAAGAGGAAAGAGAATGAAGCTTACTCAAAGAAATATTGGCTGAAAACTCCCCTAACCTGGGGAAAGAACTGGCTATCTGAACCAGGAAGCCCATAGAGTTCCAAATAAGATGAATTCAAAGAAACCCAGACCAAGACACATTTTAATTAAGTTGTCAAAAGTTAATGACAAGGAGAGACTATTAAAAGCAGTAAGAGAAAAACACCTTTTTACATGGGAACCCCCACCCCCATAAGACTATCAGCAGATTTTTTCAGCAGAAACTTTGCAGGCCACATGGGAATGTCATGATATTTTCAAAGTGCAGAAAGATAAAAGAAAAAAAAAAACAAAAAACCCTGCCAGCCAAGAATAATGGTACCTGGCAAAGCTGTCCTTCAGGATTGAAGGAGAGATAAAGAATTTTCCAGAAAAGTAAAAGATGATGGAGTTCATCACTAGACCAGCCTTATAAGAAATATTAAAGGGGGGGGGTGTGTGTGTCTGGGTGGCTCAGTCAGTTAAGCACCTGCCTTTGGCTCAGGTCATGGTCTCAGGGTCCTGGGATCGAGCCCCACATCGGGCTCCCTCCTCCGCGGGAAGCCTGCTTCTCCCTCTCCCGCTCCCCCTGTTTGTGTTCCCTCTCTCTCTGTGTCTCTGTCTGTCAAATAAATAAATAAAATCTTAAAAAAAAAAGATTTTATTAGAGAGAACGAGCAGGGGGAGGGGCAGGCAGAGGGAGAAGTAGACTCCCCCTGAGTAGGGAGCTTGATTCAGGGCTCGATCCCAGGACCCTGAGACCATGACCTGAGCTGAAGGCAGACGCTTAACTGACGGAGCCACCCAGGCACCCCTAAGAGCTGTTTGTTTTTTTTTTAAGATAAACAAAATAGACATACCTTTAGCTACTTTTACTAATAAAGAAGGGGACTATTTTAAATGAAAGAAAAGGCATTACAACTAATACCACACAAAGGATCATAAGGGACAACAAATGCCAGCAAATTGGATAATCTAGAAGAAACGGGTAAATTCTTAGAAATACACAACCTACCAAGACTGAGTCATGAAGGAACAGAAAATCTGAACTGCTCTGTAACTAATAAGGAGATTGAATAAATAATCAAAAACCCCCCAACAAAGAAAAGTGCAGGACCAGATGGCTTCACTGGTGATCCTACCGAACATTTAAAGAAAAATTAGCACCAGTTCTTCTCCAGCTCTTCCAAAACAGAAGAGGAGGGAACACTTCAGAACTTATAAAGTCAGCTTTACCCTGATACCAAAACCAGACAAAAACACCACCAGGAAAGAAAAATTACAGGTCACTCTCCTTGACGAACACATATGCAAAAATCCTCAACAAAATACTAGCAAACTGAACTTAGCAATGCACTAAAAGGATCAATTGAGTGGGATTTATTCTAGGAATGCAAGGATGACTCAACATCCACAAATCAATATGATACACCACATTAACAAAATGAAGGATAAAAGTCATATGATCATCTCAATAAAGGCAGAAAAAGGATCTGACAAAATTCAACATCCATTTAGGATTAAAAAACCCTCAAAGTGGGTACAGAAGGAACATACCTCAACATAGTAAAGGCCATGTATGATAAGCCTACCTTTAATCATACTCAACAGTGAAAAGCTTTTCCTTTAAGGTCAGGAACAAGACAAGAATGCCCACTCTCACTGCTTCTATTTGACGTAGTACTAGAAGTCTTAGCCACAGCAATGGGACAAGAAAAGGAAATAAAAGGCATCCAAATTGGAAAGGAAGAAGTAAAACTGTCTCTATTTGGAGATGACATGATCTTATACATGGAACACATTAAAGGGTCCACAAAAAGCCTGTTAGAA